TATAAGAATGTGAAACAATGAGAAGAATATCACACCATATAAGAATGTTAAACAATGCGAAAAGCATACATATCGAACCATACATATGAGAAGGATGAAACGAAAATAACCAGGACTTCTTAACAAATGTTACGCTTTCATTTTTAGAAAAATCATGTTCCTACAACAAACCTTTTTACTCGCGGAATATCAGCAGCATGTGCTGAAATTAAAGATGTTATGTGGTGCTGTAAAGGTAATTTATGTAATAGTGCATCAACATCATTTGGTAGTTTATTTATTGGTTTAATTGGTGCTATTGTTGTGCCATACTTTGCAAAATATCAACACTAAGATATGAAATGGAACAACTGAAGTTATTCTAAACTTAGTACTCGTTCTATGTAGTCAATAAAAAGCAATCAAAAATTTTAAAATTATAAATACTTGGGCTGAAAAACAATGAAAATTATATCTAATTTCTCTGGCAAAAAACTCAAAAACTCAACTGTCTTTTCTCTGTCTACTACCTAACTTTTTTCAGTAATCGCGACTCATGACATGATTTTGCAATTACATTTTGAACTCATGTTCAATTAACTACTGGCTAAACAAAAGCAGTGGCATGATTCATACTCGATTATTCAAATATATACAGGATCTTACAAGATCTAAGATCATCTTGTAAAATCGTCTACGACTAGCTTTTCAGAACTTTATAAAAATGTTTTTATCCTGTGAAAGCAATTTTTTTGCTCCATGAATACGTCTCGCTAATGATCCACATCCCAGACTAACTCACTAGTGACTAAAAGAGTCTAGGTCTATGCAATACCTCATGAGGAAGCCGAATTTATCAAAAAGAAGTGCATAAAAATGCTTCACAGATGACGAGGATTGGTTATGAGGTTTTCTATAGATTTTTTTAAAGTGAATCAGCATTTAGACGTACTGCAAGACCGAATGGCCTTGTATTAATACTACTATTTGCGTATTATTCACAATCGTTGATCAGACATATTCCTTTACTTCACTTTCGATTCCGATGCGTCATGAATAATACTAAAATCAAATATACCCTTAGAACGTCCTGATGTTAATTTAACGGTACCGTCATTTCATCAGCAGCTTCTTCTAGGCACTTTGCAACTTAATTCCACTTCCATTATCTTGCACAGCCACTGAGGATGTTTTGCTGTAAAGGTAAGTTTAACAAAAAAATAATGCTGAATTAGAACTAACTGAACTTCATGATTTTATCCTGTTAATATCACAACTCTAAAATTGTGTTAAGTTCTCACTTGTAGAGTTCGCATCGAAACAACTGAGATACAGATAAGGAGGTGAAGAAAAAAAGATGAATATCAATGACTATTATATTTTGGAATAAAGACCTTATGAGGCTATTTTTACAAGTACAAAATGTTTTGTGCTGATAACATTTCTCTTCTCGTTTGAAATGAGATATTTTAGCGTTCTGAACGCCCAGGTTCAGAAGTCAGGTTGCTTTCAAGTCATTGCTTCAAAGTCATAACGCTTGCTGATGACTTCTGTGAGAAATCAAAAACTTTCATACTTATTTCTATACTTTGTTAATGTTTAATAATTAATGATTGTACTTATGTCTTAGTGCCTCGGATCACCCATCCGACAACACACTTACTACATTGTACAACAGAGCTCCTCTGAGTAATTCGTGTAGTTTTTGGGAAAGCTAGTAGGTAGTTAGTGAGTGTCGGTATTGTTTCTGTCCACCTTATCAGTTTTAATACCTACAAAATCACCGACTGCCATGTGTTTTGATAATTCATTCCTAATATCATCATACGCTTTTATTTATTTATCTGCATGGCTAAGATAAGTCTGCTGCTCGCTTACGTATACTACTATGTCGAGAACCAGCTGATCCAAGATTTTGCGCACTAGTTTCGTCAAATTCACATTCAGTATTGGCTTCAACATTCGGATTACTTGCTGAAGCCGGTGCTTTCCCCACCAATACATCATGACCTGATGTATCAGCTAAATCCGTACCAAAATCACCTTGAGCAGACGGTAAACTTCTACCTAAAACTCTAGTTGTCTCGTTATTTGTTGTATTAGCTAAAAAAGGTTTTTCTTGACTTGTTCCCGTACCTAAAACAGGATCGCGCCACAAATGACGCGTGACAGTGGACCTGGGAATAGACAGAGTGAAAGGTCTAGTTCGAACTATGTATAACTATGTGTGATTAGATCGCTGTAGACACACGGCATATCACGCCAATAAACACTCTCGGATGCGGCTTTTTTATACGCCAAACCAACGACAGATCGACTTTTTTAATGGAAACGTGTGTAGACAAAGGTTTCCACACTCCCACTGCATATGGTCGCAGACTGAATAAATATGAGAACTGAGTGATAGCATTTAAAGTACAACAGAACTGATACATTTTATTCGAAATGAAAGAGAGGGTTTGGGTTTGTTTTTCAAATATAACAGTTGTGCTCACTTTTCAATTTACTCGACAGCAAAATATAAGAAGTGGTGGACCACCACTGGTGGTTGTTGACGTGACAGGCATGGTGAGCTTTCATAGTAGGACTAATAATAGTTAATATACAAGTTATACACAAGACTAACACAAACGAGAATGTGCTAAATTCAAGAACTCTTTGTATTGACTTATATTAAGGTTAAGGAAATTCAAAAGACAAGCACTTTTTATTTTTTCGATATTTATATATAGCTGGATAGAGCTCGACGAGCTGCATCCGAATACGTGTATTTTAATCTTTCGAATCAAAATTTTAATGTC